ACAGTGAGTCACAGTCACAATTTTTAGGTCACGACACCCTCCTTCTCCGCCACCAACATAGCCAACATACCAACCTCCACAAAAAATATTAGATCCACATAACCGACACAGCCAACGCCAACAGAATCACTGCACAACCATAGCAAAACAAAGATCCAAAATCTGCACAATCACCGCCACTATCAATGCCAATACACCACCAATACTTGGTCACAGATCCGAGAATGAAGAAATATGAAGAAAAACCCAAAACCACCCCAAAGCGCCACAGCTAACATGGGAGGCAGAATTGAAAGGACTGTTTAGTGCTCAAGCAGTGTTGAGGAAGCGTGAGGAGGAATTAGGAAAAGGATTTAAAGAAATGCATGATGAAAAGGAGGGGTTGGAGCAACAATTGCAAGTGGTTTTGATGAATAGTGATGTGTTGGAAGGATAGTTGAGGGAGAATGAGGAGAAAATGGGGAATAATGGAATTAATAGTTGGATGTGGATGAGACATTAGAGCCTTGCGATGCCCTTTCAAAACATGCTGGATTGCATAGCATTTGATTTGGTTGTGGATGATGTGATTTACACACTCGATAAAACAGTCCAATAAGGGGCCATACCTTTTGATCAATACTTGAGGAATGTGAGGCTTTTGTCACGTGAGCAGTTTTTCCTTCCAACTTTCTGGTGGTGGTGGTGGTGGTGGTGGTGGTGGAGGCGGGCGGTGAGAGAGTGGAAAGAAATGGAAGCGGCGGCTTGGTGGTGTGGGAGTTGAGAGAGTGGAGAGAAATGGATTAATTTAGGGTTTGTATATGTAAAATAAAGTACCTAATTTTTGAATAAATAAAGTGTAAATCTGATTTTTAAAAATGTCAAACTAAATGTCTGGTCTTATGCAATTTTCTCAACTTTCATTTTATATGACTCCAATCAATATTGTGAGCCGATAGCCCAATAGGCCCAGCCAAATGTAGCGTGCGCACTACGCCTACTGCGTAACTGCGTTCCCAAATATTTTACTTGTTCCAGCAATTTGTATGAAATGAAAAGCATTCTTTACGATAGATTCATTCCATAACCAGAAAAACATTATACTCGATCCTTCGAATCCTTTACTTAACACTATGAATTTCTTCAAATCCATTCTGTCAGAGGATTCGGTTCCTCCAAAACGCGAAAACCCCCATGACCCGGAATCCGAATCCCCGCTGCAGAGGAATAAGGATCCGGATGATGTCGGTCAGGATCCAGTTCACATAGACCCGTCACCCAAAAGCCCGTCTGATTCATCTGGTGATGGTGGCATTGGTGGCGGTGGGTGGAGTTTTGGGGGTCTGATCAAGACTTTTACGACCCAATCCGAGTCGGTGCTGGAGACATACAGGCGGGATCTTAGGGAATTCGGATCAGGTCTCAGGAAGGAGTCCGAGGTCATCCGAGAAGTTGCCAGCCGCGCTGTGAAGGAACTTCCGGCTTCTCTCGAGGCCGGTGCGTCGGTTGCTCATGGTTCGTTGGAATCCGTTGGACAGGCCCTTGATGGGGTGCTTAAATCAACTACCGATATAATTTCACAAGGGAAAGAAAGCCTTGTTTCTGGCTCGGATGTGGAGTCTGAAACGCCTGAAACTAATAAGAGCTTGAGTTCGGGTCGGTACAGCCGGTTCGATGCCCAATTGATTGCAATTCAGTCTGATGCGAACAGTTTCTGCAAAGATCCAGAGGATATTGAGGAGTATAAGAAGTGGAAATCAGGTTTTAAATTGGAGGAGAGGAGCAGTGAACTTGAGGGGCTAATTGGAGAAAATGAGGTTTTGGAGAGCCTTTACAAAAGGCTTGTTCCTAGTACTGTTGATCACGAGACATTTTGGTGCAGGTACTTCTATAGAGTGCATAAGCTCAAGCAGCAAGAGAGCGCGAGGGCTAATCTTGTGAAGCGGGCAATTTCTGTTGACGATGATGAGGAATTATCTTGGGATGTTGACGATGATGATGAGGATAATGGATGGGAACAAAAGAGTAATGTGAAAGGAGAACATAAAGATGAATCCAGCAATGAAGGCTCTGTTGATAGGAATCTTAGATGTGCTGAGAAACAAGAGGGTTCTGGCAATGTGCAAAATAATGAGGAAGGAGATTATTCAATTGTGGATGAAGTTGACAAGAATGATGCAGTTGACTCGAGTAAGAAGAGTATCAACAATGTTTCGTCTGATGAGAAGGTGAAGTCTGAAGAAATTAATGAAGTGAAAAATGATGAGAAATTGGAGTCTGATAAAGTAGCTGAAGAGAAGAATGATGTGAAAGTGGAGTCTGAAAAAATAACTGAAGAGAAGAATGATAAGAAAGTGAAGTCAAATGAGAAGGTAGATGAGGAGGCAAAGAGTGAAAAGAATGGTTCTGGTAAAGAAAGTGAGGTGTCAAGTCATCAATCTGCTGCAGAGGAGGATTTGGACTGGGACGAGATCGACGATATTGAGAGCCATGACGGAAAGAAAGTTAGTACAACTCATGAGGGGAGTACGAATAGAGATGAGTTGAGGAATCGGTTGAGCATTGCAGAAGAAGATGAAGATTTGAGTTGGGATATTGAGGATGATGATGATGAACCTGTGAAGGCTTAATTTTATGCCAATAAGAAAAAACCAGAAAAAAAAAATTGTATGATAAAGATGCTGATGAGCTTTGTGGACCTATTTAAGGTGAATCCTGTGAAAGTTGCAATTGGAGCTAAAGAATTCGACAATGGTGATGCGGCTTCTTACCCTGTAAATATAAAGATTACAAATGTATTAACTGATGCAATTTGTTCCATTCTTTTGCTTGTTTGTTCTTGTGGCACCTTGTTTGATAAGGTGGAGGGTTACTCTTGCCTCTATCATTGTGTTTTTATTGGATAAACAGACCAATTCATAATTTAACACTGTTACTGTTCTCTCGTGGTAATAGCATTTCTATCTTTCCATTAATAACTCTTGCTATAAGATCGTATTGCAGTCTTTTAGCTGCCGTGGCACTGGTTTTGAAGGTGTTACCAGCAATAATGTTGGTGTATTGTAGTGCTGCATCTTTTACCTGTGATTTTATTGCAAATATTTCATGAATGTTTCTTTGTTGCCTGTCGCTGGCAACCTTAATACAATGTTTCTGTACAATTTGATTTATATGGTTAGATGCTCTTGATTGTACTCTCTCATTTATCATTTAACTTGCAAATCTGAAAAGCTTGTCCCTTTTGGAAACTGGTGGAACTTATATGTCTCATTTGATGTTTTCTTCTATCATTCTAGATCCCTCATGGAAACTAGGATGAACTTGTTTTGACATTTTCTTCTATCATTTTTGAGCCCTCATGGAAACTAGGAGGAACTTGCATGTCTCCTTTGATGCTTTCTTCTATCATTTTCGATCCCTTTTGGAAACTAGGAGGACCTAGTATGTCTCATTGGATGTTTTGTTCTATCATTTTTGATCAACTAGTTATTTCGTGCTATTTCCTGCTGTCTCTTGCTTGTCTTAATTAGTCAATACCATATTTAGTTTAGCTATTATAAACGTAGTTTTCTCGTTTTGGTAGAAATAAGATGCATCTGTAACTTCTTTTTCTCGTCTGTATCTGATGCCCCAACATTTATGATATGTTTTTCCTGTTTTCCCCCTTTTCTCCCTTTCTTTCCATTTTTCTGCCGCATGATAGCTTTACATCTTACTCGACATCATTAGGCAGAGAAGTTTTTCAGGCCTAATTCAACGACCCCAACTGTGGTGCTTTGATCATCAATATGCTATGGAAGATGTATGAATTTACTATTATAAGCAGTGATCGAAAAAATTCAGTGGCGATCTTGTTCAAGGAAGGTATGATGGTCGACTTGCTCGGCTGCAAGGGTTTCACTCGGGAGATAGCAGCACTATATATATTTTCGTACAAATATGGTGACCAAATTCTTTTTCAGTTGAGGCATTTTCTCTGCTGAAAATATTGTCTTCGTTACTTGAAAAATTATCACTTTACAATGCTCCGGATAGTTTGTTTTGTCATAAGATCAAATATAATTTATTTTTAGCAACAAAAATTAACGACATAGTGAGCATACAACGAATTTAAAATTTTATTTCAATTAAGCCCCTGTTTGATGACCATTATTTTAAGGAAATAGAGTTTTGAACAGTGATTTTTCGAAGAACGCGTGATTAAAATGTATGAAAAAATTTCAAGTTTACGTGTAAAATATTTTATTATCTAAATGTATGATTGAAAATGAATATGAAAATTAAAGAATTTTGAAATAATGGTTGTCGGGTTAAATAACTTCTTCCATCTCAATTAGCTACAGGTTAGTTTCCACACAGGCCATTGTTTGGCTCCCATTTTAATGATATTTTGGAATAGTAATTTTTGGAAAAATGTGTGACTAAAAGAGAAAAATTCTTTTTATTTACGC